CTGGAGAACTGAACTGGGGGAGGCTTGCCGAGTGCTCTGAGAGGGCGGAGGAGCCTTTGAGTCCCTATGCCCCTTAAAACCGAGGGACTGACTCGTACATGTTAGAGTGCTCTGTGGTCTTTCTTTAAAATGAAGACAGGAGTTTTTCTGCAGGCCCAGTCTGGGTCAGAGTTTGGGTTTTGCTTAGCCCATGTGAGAACGCTAATGACTACCCTTAGAAGATGAGCAGTTGTGAACTACTAGGGGCTCACTTCTCTTTAGCAAGACCACAGAATGATTAAAACTTGGAGTTTTCCCACACCTTTGAGTCCTTTTAGGAGGAAACTAGTTAAGTATTCTGGTGTAGAACCTGTTGTCAAATCTGACTCATCAGTTTAAGAAACTGACTGGCCAACTGACGCTGAATATTAGCTGTGTGCTGCTCTGATGTTGAGTTGAAAGTGGGTTTTTCTGTTTCTTTTTCGTGTTTTTTTTTTTTAAGTGTTTCAGAGTTTGTAAGCATGTGTAGTCTGATAGCAGTTTTTATTAGGTATGCAACTTTAGTTAGGGAAATTATTAAATCTAAGCCTAGCTTTCCTAATCTATTTTTTAAAGACTAATAATAGCTTCCACTTTATAGCCACAAGGGTTGTGGGGATTAAATAAAATAATCCATAGAATTAATGTAACATAATGCCAGACACTTATTTCCATGATACTTAACTTGGGCTAAAAGTTACAAACCTTGAAAAGGCAAAGGGAAGCAAAGGCGAGGGCGGTGGCGGGGCAGCGATACCTATTACCCATTAGCCAGCTCAGTACAGGTGTTTAAAATCATAGTACCTTGCAGATTCACCTGGCATGGGGTTCTACATTCTTTGCTTGTACTATTGTTAAGCTTCCCACTCCTGCAATCCAACTCTAATGCTTAGAGAAGGGTAAGGAATTAATGGAGCCCACCCAGAGTTCTGTGTAGACTGCCTCACTCCAACCAGCATTCAGATTCTTTTCTGAATTATACTACATTTGCATTTTATTAAGTGGCTTCCCTAGATGGCCTTGTTTCTATGGCTCATGTTGGTGCTTTGCCATGCAAATGGACTTATTTAGAATATTTTATGACTTAAAATTGCAAATAACTTACGATGGGAATTCTAATGTGTGATGGGAGAATAATGTTAAAACATACACATCTGTCAGTTAAATAAAGGGAATCCAAGCCGGGCGTTGGTGGCACACGCCTTTAATCCCACCCAGCACTCGGGAGGCAGAGGCAGGTGGATCTTTGTGAGTCCGAGCCCAGCCTGGTCTACAAGAGCTAGATCCAGGGCAGCCTCCAAAAGCCACAGAGAAACCCTGTCTCAAAAAACCAAAAAAAAAAAAAAAAAAAAAAAGAAGAAAAAAAGGGAATCCAGTGGTGTTTGGAAATGAATTCAAAATGTATGCTTCCTAATGTGTATTTTCTCATTTACTAAGCAGTTCTCCCCTCCCCTTTTAACATCTTTTATTTGCTAATTTTTATTTTATTTGCATTGGCGTTTTTTGGGCATGTATGTCTGTGTGAGGGTGTCAGACTTGTAGTTACAGACAGCTGTGAGCTGCCATGTAGATGCTGGGAATTGAACCCAGGTTCTCTGGAAGAGCAGTCAGTGCTCTTAACCACTGAGTCATCTCTCCAGCCCCACCCCTTTTAATAATCTTAATTTCAGTTTGGCAATAAAGGGCAAAGCCACTTACCTCAATAATGTTTTTTCAAACTTACTGTTGAGAAAATTAAAGAATTAAAATTAATGTGTACAACATTATTATATTTTACTGTCTTTCAGTAGTGTGTGAATATATTTATCCTCTTCCTCTTGTTTTCCACATTTGGATTACATACACTGATATATGTATGTATGTGTGTGTATAAATATATATATTGAGAGAATGTGAAGCAACTAATTCAACTCTTTATACTTAATTAGAATTTCATTATCATAGAGAACTTCCTCAGAAATAATTTTTTGCAGGACAATGGTTAAAATTACATTTCTTAGGTGTTTTTTCTAAGAACCCAGTAAATTTTGTCACTGAATTACACTGTGCTACATCAAATGTTTTGATTAACAAAAAGTTATTAAGTATCTCATATCTGAACTATAAATCTTCACATAACTGAACTGTGGTAAAGTGTAGCACACACATGAAATGTAATTCCATCTTTGTTGATAGGATCTCAGGAATTTGATGTATTCCCCCATCAGTCAGTCATATGCTAGGTATTGCTGGAATGCTATCTGGTACAGATGTCTGCTTACTGTCATGCAACACAAGTTTGTTGTAAGAATGTATTATGTTAGCTATGATGGAGTCTCTCTCTCTGTCTGTCTCTCTGTCTCTGTCTCTGTCTCTCTCTCTCTGTGTATTGTCTGTTTCTGAGGCGGGAACTCTGGGCCTTAAGCAGGCTAGTCAATCACTCAACCCCAGCCTATGACTTACTTATATTCCCAGCCCAAAATAAATTTAGTTGTTTAAAAATGTTTGGCTCTGTTAAGAATTTGTTTTTTCTTTCTGTCTTCTCCCCCTCTCTCCCTTTTTATTCACTCTTCCCCTCCCTTCCTTCCCTTCCTTTCTTTTGTGTTGTGTGGTGGTTTGAATGAGAAAGCCCCCACTCCCACCCCCAGGCTTACATGTTTGAATGCTTGGTCCCCAGTTGTTAGAATTGTTTGGGAAGGATTTGGAGGTGTGGCCTTTGTTGGAGGTATGTCACTGGTGGTGAGGGAGAGTGCACTAGCCCTAAGGTTTCCAAGGCCCAAGTCATTCCCAGTTAGCTCTTTCTGCCTCATGCTTGTGGAGCAGATGTTAGCTCTTGCCACTGCTCCAACTTTCACTTAAAGATCTAAGTTTTCAGCTATTGCTCCAGTGCCATGTTTGCCTGCCTGCTGCCACAGATGGACATGGATTCACCCTCTGAAACTTTAAGCCCCAATAAATTTTTGCTTCTATAATCTGCCTTGGTTGTGGTCTTATCACAGCAATAGTAAAAAAGTAACTGTTGCTTTGTAACCCAGTCTGGTCTCAACTTTGTGGCAGCCTTCCTTAGCCTTCAGAGTGCTGGGATTACAGGTGTTTGCCACCATGTCTAGAGAAAAGTTTTCTTTTTGCCCACACTCATATTTTTACGACATAGTATGAATGTTCCATAAGCTATTTAATAAGATTTCAGTTAATGGATAATTACATATATTTTTTCTTATATTTCCATATGTTAGTATGCATGCAGTCTTTTAATTGAAGTGATGAAGTTGAATTGATTTTAAGTTTGTTTTAAAAGTTTTGGGGGGCTGGAGAGATGGCTCAGTGGTTAAGAGCATTGGTTGCTCTCACAGAGGACCAACGTTTAATTCCCAGCATCCACTTGGTGACTCACAACCACCTGTAACTCTAGTTTCAGGGGATCTGATGCCCTCTTCTGACCTCCACAAGCACCAGACAAACAGATATACATGCAGACAAAACATTTATACACACATAAACTAAAGAAATAAAAATATTTTTAAAGTTTTTGGACATGTTGTTGCTAAGACATCAGGAGTGGATGGTACTTATGGATGCTTCACAGCAGCTGACCACATGCCTGAAGGTTGGGTTGTATCTGCAGCATACCACAGGCTCTTGGTGAGAACTTACCAGGTGGGGCTCTGGGACAGATCTGACTCATGAAAAAGAGACAAAGGACAGCTGAGGTGACTGCATGCCAGGGATACCCAGGAGGGGGCTGATCTGATTCTCCATTACAAAGTGGCCAGCAGGAGAAGCTTGGGGCTCAAAGGATGCATCTTGGGAAATTGCCTAACTGCTCAAATTTCCACTCTCTAACCTGCAATATAGGGGTGGTAATACCTGATTTAAGTGTTGTAAAGGTTTGCTGGCTGGTTTTATGTCAACTAGACACAGGCTAGAGTCATCAAAAAGGGGGGGAGCCTCAGTTGAGAAAATGCCTCCATAAGATTCAGCTGTAGGCAAGCCTGTTGGGCATTTTCTTAATTAGTGATTGATGTGAGAGGGCCCAGCCCATTGTGGGTGGTGACATCTCTGGACAGGTGGTCATGGGTTCCATTAAAAAAACAGGTTGAGCAAGCCAGTAAGAAGCCCCCTCCATGGCCTCTGCATTAGCTCTGGCCTCCAGGTTCCTGCCCTGCTTGAGTTCCTGCCCAGACTTCTTTTGATGATGAACAGTGATATGGAATGTAAGAAAAAAAACAAAAACAAAAAAAAAAAAACCAAAAAAACCCCCGCTTTCTCCACCCCCCCAATTTTTTTTTTTTTTGAGGGTTGGGGGCTAGAGAGATGGCTCAGTGGTTAAGATCATGTGCTGCTTTTGCAGAGGACCAGGTTCAGTCCCCTGCATCCCTGCTGCAAGGTAGTTCACCTGTCACTAACTCCAGCTCCACGGGATCAGGGAACATTCTCTGGCCTCCCTGGTGCTTGAATTCACCTGTACACACCATCCTCAGTATACACACAATTTTAAAAAATCTTACAAAACAACTTTTGTATCCCAAAAAACTAAACTGAAAATTCTAAGATGAAATTGAGTTATTCAGATTCAATATCTACCAAACACTGCAAGAGAATTTTTTAATTCTCTAACAAAGGAAGTGTCTTTGTATTTTGTGATATGTGATGTTTAGTAAATAAACAGAAAATCTTGCTCCTGCTTTCTTGTAGTTCTGGAGATTGAACTCGGGGCCTTGTGTATACTAGCCAGGTGCTCTATTACTGAACTATGTCTTAGTCAACAAATTTTATTTTTCTGAAAAGTCTTCATCTACTATTGAAGCTGTATTTTTTGTAAAGTGACTATACTATATATTTATCACTATTGTATTACCTTTTAACCTTTAATAATATACATTTAGGTACCAATTTAGTATTGCTTTATGTTAATGCTGCTGCTTAAAAAAATTTTGAGATAGTATCTTGCTATGTAGCCCAGGCCTTGAAATCTTAGACTTCTTGCCTCAGTTTCCCAAGTATTAGATGGATTCAAAGCATCACTGATCTATTGTCTTTTAGTTTGAGAAGAAAAAGAGAAGATTTCAATGGTGCTTAAGAAAGAAGATGTGGGCAAGGCTGTGCTACTTCTTTCCCTCAGAAAGAGTCTTCTTTGCCTTTTCCAGTGTCCAGGAAGTCACTGCATTCATTGGCTCCTTCCCTCTTCACAGTCTTGGTCTAGGACCTCAGATCTCTGTCTCTGATGTTTCCCCATCATGACCTCTCTTTGCCTGCTATGACTGGCCTTCTTCAACCCTCTTTTAAGGACGCTTGTGAGTATATTATTTCCATATGGATAATCCCTCATATCAAGGTCTCTTATCTATCTTCAAGGTTCTTTTTGCCTTGTCACAGCAGGTATTTTTTGCAGGCTCTGGGCAAAAAGGATCATCTCTGGGTGCCATTCATCTATGTGGTACAGATTACAGTATAATAAACACACATGCATAGGGAGAGCAGTCATATGCATTCTTGGTACCACAGTGGTCAGAGTCCTTGCCCTTTTGTGCAACTCTTTGGTCCTGCATTTTTGGAGCTCTGCCTGCTCCCCAATCTTAGTCATTTGCTTTTCTTAGTGACTCCTCTGACTTACCAGCTCATGTCACTTGCAGGTACTTCAAACAGTCAAAAGTCCATGCCAAGCCCAGAGTGTCTCTCTGCCCGTGGATCAGGACATAGCTCTCAGCTGCTTCTCTAGCACCAGGTCTGCCTTCGTGCAGCCACACTCTGCTCCATGATGATAGTAAACTAGCCTCTGAAACTATAAACAAGTCCCCAGCTAAATGCTTTCTTTTCTAAGAGTTGCCTTGGTTGTAGTGTCTTTTGACAGCAGTAAATCAGTGACTAAGACAGGGGTATATGTAAATCATATTTGTATCTGCAGGGGAGACACTTTCAGGTACCAGTTCAGTCAGCATCATCTGTCATTGATCTGCTGTTGGGGCTTCCTAGCTCTTCACCCTTCAGATTGCTGCTCTTCCTGTGCTTAGACACTCACTGTCCCTGCCTCTCTCTCATTCTGGCATCTTTTCCCTGAGTTCTTTTTTTTACATATCTAGCCACATATGTTTTGTTTTCTGCTTCTCTTTGCTAAACTCACTTCTACTTCACTTCTGTATTCCTTTGTCCTCAGAGAGCTTCTTAAAACTATGAATGAGATCATGCCACCATCCGTCATTAACACTGTTTTGTGGTTTCCCACTGTATTTAGAGTGAAATCTAATTTTCTCAACACTGCCTGTGTGATGGGGCCACTCTCCAACAATTATTCGAAGTCACAAGTTCCCCATCCTTCAGTCACTGTGTTTCTTTAAGTTCTTGGAACGCGTCTTACTTTCTTCCCAGGAGCCATTGTTGCACCACTCTCTATGCACAGGACCCTTTTTTCTGTCTTGGCTAGACTCTTAGCATTCTTCAGATTTATGCTTTTCTTACAGAAAAATTATTTCATTCAATTTAAGTCTAAAGAAGCTCCCTGCTGTTTGTCTCTTGAGAGATTGTGTTCTTTGCTTCTAGTTCCATCGATTTGCCTGTGAATTTCAAGATCCCCCCCCAACCCCTCCTGAGCAGTACTCCGTTGTGTAAATGTACCACATTTTCTCTATCCATTCTTCAGTTAAGGGCATCTAGGTTGCTTCCTGGTTCTAGATATTACAAATAATGCTTTCTTGAACATCGTTGAACAGATGTCCTTGTTGTCTGAATGTGCACCTTTTGGGTATACGCCTTAGAGTGGAATTGCTGGATCTTGTAGTAGACTGATTCCCATTTTCCTGAGGAATTGCCATACTGATTTCCATAGTGGCTGTATGAGTTGGCACTCCCACCAGCAGTGGAGGAGTGTTCCTCTTTCTCTACATCCACTCCAGCATAAACTGTCATTGGTGTTTTTGATTTTGGCCATTCTGACAGGAGTAAGATGGTATCTCAGAGTTGTTTTGATTTGCATTTCCCTGATGGCTAAGGATGTTGAACACTTTTTTATGTGTGTCTTTCAGCCATTTTAGATTCCTCTATTGAGAATTGTCTATTTACTTCTGTACCCCACTTTTTAATTGGGTTATTTGGTGTTTTGGAGACTAGCTTCTTGAGTTCTTTGGAAATTATGGAGATCAGCCCTCTGTCAGATGTGGAGTTGGAGAATATCTTTTCCCAGTTTTTGGGCTGTCGTTTTGTCTTGTGACTATGTCCTTTGCCTTACAGAAGCTTCTCAGTTTCAGGAGGTCCATTTATTAATTGTTGATCTCAGTGTCTGTGCTACTGGTTTTATGTTCAGGAAGCTGTCTCCTGTACCAATTAATTCAAGGGTATTTCCTACTTTCTCTTCTAATAAGTTCAGTGTGGCTGGATTTATGTTGAGGTCTTTGATCCATTTGGAGTTAAATTTTATGCATATCCGTAGACATGGATCTATCTGCAGTCCTCTTTATGCCAGTATCCAGTTATGCCAGCAACACTTGTTGAAGATGCTTTCTTTATTCCATTGTATAGCTTGAGCTTCTTTGTCAAAAAATCAGGTGTTCATAGGTATGTGGGTTAACATCAGGGTTTTCAACTGGGTTCCATTGGTCTACCTGTCTACCTGTGTATTTTTGTGCCAATACCAAGCTGTTTTCAGTACTATAGCTCTCTAATAGAGCTTGAAATCAGGGATGGTGATGCCTCCAGAAATTCCTTTATTGTACAGGAGTATTTTGGCTATCCTGGGTCTTTTGTTTTTCCATATAAAGTTGAGAATTCTTTGGATATCCTGGATTTTCTGAGTTGTGTTGGGCTTTTAACGGGGATTGCTTTGAATCTGTAGATTACTTTTGATAAGATGGCCATTTTTACTATGTTAATTCTATGGATCCATGAGCTTGGGAGATATTTCTATCTTCTGACATCTTCATCAATTTCTTTCATCAAAGACTTGAAGTTTTGCCTTATAGGTCCTTCACTACCTTGGTTAGAGTTACTCCAAAACATTTTATATTATTTGAGGCTATTATAAAGGTGTTGATTCTATGATTTCTTTTCATCCCATTTATTGTTTGTATATGGGAGAGCTAGTAATTTCTTGAGTTAATCTTGTATGCAGCCACCTGAATAAAGGTGTTTATCAGCTGTAGGAATTCCCTGGTAGAGTTTTGGGATATATATATATATCATATCATCTGCAAATAAATATAATTTGGCTTCTTCCCTTCCTGTTTTTATCACTTTGGACTCTTTGGTCTCTTTCGGTTGTCTTATTGCTCTAGCTAAAACTTTCAGTACTATTATTGAACAGCTCTTGTCCCTAATTTTAAAGGAATCGTGTTGAGTTTCTGTCCATCTAGTTTGGTGTTGGCTGTTGGTTTACTGTATACTGCTTCCTTTTTTATTATGTTCACGTTTGTTCTTGTTATCCCTGATCTCTCCAAGACCTTTATGAAGGGGTGTTGGATTTTGTCAAAGGCTTTTTCAGCATCTAGTGAGATGATCATGTGGTTTTTCTTCTTCAGTTGGTTTATATGCTGGATTACATTGATAGATTTTTCCAATGTTAAACCAATCCTGCATCTCGGGGATGAAGCCTACTTGATCGTGGTGGATGATTTTTCTGATATGTTCTTGGATTCAGTCTGCCAGTATTTTATTGAGTATTGTTGCATCAGTGCTCATGAGGGATATTGGTCTGTAGTTCTTTTTCTTAATTGTGTCTTTGTGAGGCTTGGTTATCAAGGGAATTGTAAAAAGAGTTTGGCAATGAATCTTCTGCTTCTATTATGTGGAACAATTTGAGGAGTATTGGTATTAGCTGTTCTTTGAATTTCTGATAGAATTCTGCACTGAAACCATCTGGCCCTGGG